TTCATTTTCCTTTTTTTCCTTTTTTGTTTTTTAAATCTAATTAAAATGTAAATCAAAATAAAATCATCAAATATATACTTAAATATCAGAATTTAACCAAGTGAAAATTATATACATCGAACACAATATGAATCATAATGTGATTCACAAACTGATCGACGTAAATATGTTATCAAACAATTTCATTGATATCTTTTCTTATGAAGTTGTGAAAACGTGTGCCAAAATATTGAATGAATCAATGTTAGTAATACGATTGATAATAATATTTTATATTGTATTATTGACATTCACTTTACTAAGAGATTGTATAAAAAACAAAATATTAATAAAAGAGTGGCTAAGAAAAATGTAGCAAGAATTTTTGTTTGCAAAAGAAATTATAAAATATACGCATGCGTATAACAGAACTTTCATCTGAGATAAACAAATATGTGTATTAAAATTATTATATGTATAATATTTTTTTCATCTTATGCAAGTGTATATGAGTTCAATTTAAATAAAGATAATCCGATAAATATATACAACATTTTTATTCAATCTAAAAAAGATAGGATATGAGTATAGGTAGAAAGAAGTTCCGTTTGCTTTTACGATACACAAAGGCGTCGAAACGCAAAATTTGGAAGCATATCAGAATATCTTCCGGCGAGCAAGTCTAAATACGAACAAACGGATGTGTGAAAGGAATATTCGATTAGTAGGGATATAATCGGAAAGTATAAAAGAATTGACACTTATGGATATGTTTGATAAAAAGTCATTGCAAAGCCCTACCCTAAACAATTTTTAGTTCAAATCCTTTCAAGAAATTTAAACACTGAAAAAGCATTATATTGTATTGATGAAGAATGAAAATATCAGTAGAAGAATAATAAGAAATGTTAAGTTATTAAAAATATCTATTGATAGCCTACAATATAAACAATAGAAGACAAAAAGAAGTAAGTACTTGAACTCATATACTGAATTCGGCTCGATCTTATATGATTCGACCATCTCTCTCACTCGATGCTGTATCGTATACGTGGAACTTACTTCATGTTTGTTTGACTCGGAAGCGTATGCTATGCTTTCATGCAAGCTGTATTCCTGCTTCTACACAGTATATCACCGATTCCATGAAAACACGCGAGATTCGGGCAGGATTTACGGTAGTTCGACATAAATAACGTACGGCACTAACACCACCCCGACACCCTACCTATGCACATCTGGCCAGCCATATTGCCGACTCCAGGCCTATACTCCTTCCACCCTTCGTCTCGATGTACACGTTTACCTAGAAGGAATACTCGAATTGCGAGCGTTAATACGCTCTATTTTTGCTCTCTCATTCTCTTTGCTTCTCACTTTTTCTTTCTTATTTTGCGACTTTTCTTTCATATACAAAAAAATAATGTAATTATGAATCGAAACTGATCTTTTTGATTTTTTGATTTAATTGTTATGATAATTTTTCTATATCTTGTTCTTATGATTGTACAGAGAGCAATTTAATTATTTTCTAAAAATCTAAATTCTAATTAACAATAGTTGCGAGATATTACGCAATTTTAAATTCGATTATCGATATCAAATTATCGATATAAAATTGTTATAGTATATTGATTATCGAATTATCGGATATTAATCGATAAATCTAAGTATTATTACAATGATATTAGAAAGAATATCGTATGTTATTAAATAGTTTAAATTAAACATTTTTTATATTTATATACATTTTCAATAATAAAACTTTCAATTTAAAATAAATTAAAAACTTAACACTAATAAAAAATTAAAATAAAAAACTCATTTATTAATTTTTATTCATAAAAAATGAATTTTGTATAAATTAAAATATATTATATTTATGTATATATATATATTATCATGTAGTTATATGTAAATATATATATTTTTTATTAAATTTATTATTATAATTATGTTTAAATAATGTTTTGTATTGTAGAATACAAGCAATTATATTTTGAGAAATATAACATATCATTTTTGAAATTCAAATTTCATATAAACCGCTAAACTGAACTAATGATAGCGTTGAACATCAGATGGCGCGACAATTTTAGTTCTACTTGAATACACGGGAGTTTCCATGGACCCTGTCGCCGACGCACCTGGCGCATCGACCGAGAAACAGAAACAGCTGTCTGTTCGAAGCAACTTCGAAAGTATCGTTTGTTAATTGTTGATTTAGAATTGTGTAGATCTTTGTTGCGTTATTTGTGGAATGCGAAGTAACGAGGTTTCGGGGTATTGTGCCTGTCATCAAACGCGTACTAGTCTGCCCCTTGCTTCACCACTCTTTACCGCTTTAGGCGGTTGCTTCGATGATAACGTGCTTGCCTTTTATTTTTCCGATTTCTACGATCCGGAACGTTTCTCCCCCTTTCCTCTCTTTGCTTCTCACTCTTTCCTTGTCCCCACTTGCTCATTCTCGCGCTCTCTCCCCCTCTATCTTTCTCTATTTCTCTTTCAAGTTCTCCGTTTCTCTGTCCCTCATTTTCCCTCTCTGTTATTCTAAGTTACTTTCAAGATCTCTGTGTTCTTCACCAACGATGTAAACAGACTGATATTTTTTGGAGAAAATTTTCATTTTTCTACTTCAATTTATATTTGTGTATACTTGTCTGTTGTTGTTATTGCTCCAACTATAATCATACGTGCACGCAATGACGCACCTATAAGTGAAATACGCACGCATCAACAAGCAGCATTTCTTCGATGACACTGTCGTTGATCAGTAACGATTCTTAGGATAACAGTTGGATATATCGAGAGAAAAATATTCGTAATTTTTTATTTGATTCGATTTTTTTTGGTACTTGTTTTTTTTATAAAGTTATAGATAAGAATTCTCCCGCGCTATGGAACACGGGTGTGAAAAACGTAAAACATTGATTCAGAATTAAAGTTAAATGATATTAAAGTGCGAAAATTTTGATGATTTAAATTTTTAGAAATTGTGATGATAATTTGTGTAAAAAAAAAACTATAAAACAATTTTAAAAAAAATCATTTTTAATTTCACTTATTGAAAATATTCCATTGCCTTTATTTTCATTTTTTTATCTTGCTGTTATCCTTACCTCTTTTTTCTCAGTCTAATATTTTCTTATTTAATTTGCAATTTGTTTAATTCTAGTCATATATAATAATTTATTCTATTTAAAACAATAAAATATATTTATTTTTACAGTAGTACCAGTGCGAGCAAAATATAATCTTCATAATTATTAAACGATGAAGGAATCATTAGTAGAAATTATCAAATAAACATGGCATCTCAAATAAAGAATTTAATGATTAACTATTAGGCATATTAAGGATATGCTTTATATCATCAGGAAGGAACTAAATGAATGAATAAAATTATAAGGAATGATATTCTATTTGAATCTATTGGATGTTAGATAAAGTGAAAAATGTCTGGTGATTCAGGATGGAATACTGTTATTCACCATCCTTCAGAATTAGAATTACAGAATTGGAATTGGGAAGAAAACGATGGAGAACAAGAAAGGGAGCTCCCTTCGACTGTTGATATGGATGCTATAAAAGGTGGTGGTAGCTGGGATCCAACTACTGAACCTAATGGTATTAATATATTATATTAATAAATTATATATCTATGCTATGATTGATATTTATCTCTTCACATAAAAATTATATGTATAAAATATAGAGTTTTTTTCTTTTTCTTTTTTTTTTTTAGGAACAGATTCGGTTGATTCTGAAGAAGATTCAGATTCCGACGACGAAACCTCTGGCGGTACAGAAGGTAGTTGTTCCTATTCAGATTCGAATTCGGATTCAGACGACGAAAGTAGTGGTGACGAAGAAGAAGATACAGGATCCAATTCGGATTGTACATCGGAACATAGCGAACAAACATTTTCCATTCAAAAAACAAATTTTGAACCGGTATTAGAAATTTGTTATCATTATTAATCTAAAAATTTACACAATTAAATAAAATTTTTAATTGCATTGTAGGGAGCGCTTAAATTAAAAATCAGTATGAAAGGTCCAAAAAAAGAGGATTCGGAAAAAGAGAAAAATAAAAGAAGCATACCAAAAAAAGTTAAAATGAATCGAGGAGGAAAGGTGATTTATAAGTATTTACTCTAAATATAATTGTCGAGTTCTTAATTATTATTAATTAATTAATTATCAATTAAAAATTATAAATTATAAAGAATATAATTTATCTTTAAAATTGTAAAGAATATATTTTATCTTTCTATTTAGTCATCAGAATGCAGTAGTGATGAGTCTGATTCATCTGAAAATCATTCAACTTCACAACATACACAGCAACAACAGCAACAGATGCAACAATCTCAACAACAACAACAGCCACAACAACATCCAACTCTTCAAGAGATTAATCAAGAAGATTTGGCGGCTATTTTACCAGATCAAGAGCATGAAGATGCTCCATTTGATGGATTTGAAGATTCAGAAAGTGGTCGGTTAGTATCGAAAGCTATCGAGAGAATGTCTCTTGGTGCAGATTCGGATACGAGTGAAAATGGTGATCAAAATCCTGTACCTGTGTATAGTTCCACTTTATTACAACAATTTGTAGAAAAAACGGCTCTGTTATCAGAACCAAGAAAAAGGCGGAGTAAGTTAGGGAAAAAATTGAATGATTCAGAATATCCTTGCGTTTCGAATGTATCTCCGGATTCAGGAATTCAATCAGTAGATAATAGTCCATTACATTTGGCAATTAGTCCTGTAAGTCCTCCAACACAGACACAATCACCGGTGCAACCCGTTGTTACAAAACCTGCAGTAAACGTAGATCGTGTTTTATATCCACCTAAACGAAAACCTGGTAGGCCAGCAAAGACAGTATCTACGCAACCCCGTGGGCCTGGTAGGCCAAGATTAAAACCAGAAATTGTAGAAAAGATAGAAAGAATAGAAAAAACAGAAAAAACTGGAAAAACCGAAAAAATTGAAAAGAAGGAAACTGTTTCCCAAGCAGTAAAAGTCACAAAAGAAGAAACAACTAAAAGAGGGAAAACAAAATCTACATCACAGAAAACTGTTGCAACTCGAACAGATAAAAATGAAGAAAATAATTCAACTAAAAAATTAAAAGAGAAACCAGCTTGCCAAAAGAAACGAACTTGCAATGTTTCTAAACAATGTACGCCGGGAAAAGTAACTGGAAAGAGAAATAATACAAGTTCCCCAGCGCGTGTCAAGTGCCTAAGTAGATCTGTTACGAATAAGTATGGAAAAGAGGGAATTCAATGCAATGGTGGGACGTGTAAGAAAATGAAGAAAGATAAGCCTGGAATAGGAAATAAGACAGCTCCTTTACGGCGACAAAAACAATCGGCTTGTGATCGAATTTCGAACGAAAGAAAAGTAATTAATTCGAATAAAAGAAGTTTAAAAGAGAATAGAAGTAGTACTGTTCCCTTAGCTAAGAGACAAGCATCATTAAAGAAAAATGTTGCGCCAGTTACGCGACGTGTATTGAAAGAAAACAAAAGTACTAAAAAAACAACAACTGGATTTGAAACAAATGGTGTTGGAGTTCAGACTCTAATATCTTTACCTGTTGGTGAGGTATTAAAAGCTGAAAAAGCTGAAAATATAACTAATAAATGCGATAAGGCGACGCAGCCTATACATAATCACTGTCGCAAACATCATCATCACAAACATAGAAGACGATTATTGTTGCCACCTAAAAATCCTATACGTATCCATCCATGTCTCATACAAGAATTAGAAAAATTGATAGAAGAATTTTCAAGATTGTGTAGTTTAGGTAGAAATAATTCAAACTCTGGATATTCTGAATTACCCCAAATTTTTCGTGTAAAAAAATTAACAAAAAAAAGAAAGGGAGGGGATGTTACCTCAAACGATGATCAGAAATTAAAAAGACGTCTTAAAAAAGAGAAGATTCTGTCGGGAACAGATTCAAAAAATAATATGAATGCGAATGCGAATTCAAATCCAAACGAACAAAGGTTACCATTAAAAAAAAGGCATTATCATGTATCCAGTCCTCATAGTTCACAAAGTTCGAATGCAAGTGGCGCTGATTTGGCTGTTAATGAAGCGAACTCTACTGAAAGTCATATAGAAGAAGCAATCGAAGCTACAATAACAAGATATGGAAGTAGTTCTGCCTTCTCTTTCCAAGAAGATTCTGTACCTGTTACTCCTAAGAAGAGGCATAGGGATACCGAAACTGGTAGTCCTGACAAGTCAAATGCAACATCTTCCGATTTATTGGAAGAAAAACCCTTGAGCCAAATAGAAGTACAACCGCGTCGTAAAAAGAAAATTGTCAAGGACCTTCGCGTGACAGTTACAAAATTACCTGTTGAAAGTCATGGAATTTTAGAAAAATCCGATAAAATGGATAAAATTGAGAAAGCTGATAGTAAAGCAGAAAAATCCGAGAAATATTCCACTGATAGAAGTTCAAAATATCGTGCAGAAAAAAGTAGAAGTGAGAAAATTGCAGAGAAATTAATAAAAAGCGATAAAAATCAAACCGATAAAATTGAAAAAAGAGATCTCTCGCCAGAACATGTTCGCTTGGAAAAGAATATAAAAATCGATGCGGCGGAATTTAATACCGAAAGCTTTGATGAAAGTGAAATTAAACCAGCACAAAACAATCTCAATTCAAATGTTCCAAATCCTTTGAATTCTGCTGCTGTATTAGTTTTGACTAAGAAAAAAATGAGACGACGGAAAGCTATCAATCGTACAGGTTTTCCGACATTAAAAAAGAAAAAGAAAAGATCTTTAAATGCAAATGATACATCGACGGATGCGTCAAAAACTATGGTTTTAAGTAATGAAGATGGTACAGACATCGGTGCTGATGGTGAAAATTCAACAAAAGAAGGAATCGAAGATTCAGTAGTTGACAGCAAAACAAGTGTATTAAGCAATACTGAGTTACAAAACGTATTTACTGATGAAATTTCGACTAAACATATTAGCAATGCCATACAAAATCGAGTTCAATCAAAAATTGATTCAATTTCAAATCGGGAAAATTCAAATTCATCAAAGTCGGAAACGAATAGTCATGTTCGATCTGAAGAACTTTCAGAACCTCGATCAGGCCAATTGCGAGTTCGGAAAGATCTTGTAGAAACAGATAATGACAATGCATTGAATAAATTATGTCCTGTTAAATTTGAAAAAATTCAAGATTCAAAACCATATGATGAGAATACATCTTTAGAAGAATCCCTCGAAAAATTCAGTTCAAATCAACGCGTTGTGGAATTAAATGAAGAAAATGTAAAAAGATTTGAGCGTGCAAATTCTCAAACGAATATCAAAACGGAAAATTCAAATTCTTTTAACGGCAATCAGAAAAAACGAAGAGGATCCTCGAGCCCTTGTAATTTGACTCCTAGAAATATAAAACGTTTACGTAGTTCTGGTTATGATATGGAGAATGACATTTTGCCTAATAGCGATATTAACGATGATCATGAGGTTGGAAAACATTCAAATTCGACGCATACGAGAAAGAAGCAATCTCGATGGAAGAAACGTTATTTACAAGGAGGGATTCTACAGGAATATGGCAAAGATATTGAAGGAAAAATACGTGGTAGTATTGAAAATAATAACACTGGAAGAAACAAAGTTGTATGTGAAACTACCGAGTCTGCATCTGCTACGTTATTATCTACCACATATCAATGCGGTAAACTTTTACGACAAAGAAAAATGCCGTTTCAATTGCCATATGATTTGTGGTGGCTACATACACAATCTAGATTACCTAGCAGAGAATCAGTTCCATCTTGGAATTACAAGTAAGGATATAATTATCACATTATTGAATATTTAATTTTTTTATAAAATTATTTTAACATTTTATTTTTCCACAGAAAAATTCGTACTAACGTATATTACGATGTTAAACCTACTACACTTTATGAAGCGCAAGCTTGCGAATGCAAGCCGGAAAGTGGTTGCGGAGACGATTGTATCAATCGTATGGTTTTCAGCGAATGTTCTCCACAGCTTTGTCCTTGTGGTGATAAATGCGAGAATCAGAAAATTCAAAAACACGAATGGGCACCGGGTTTACAAAAATTTATGACAGAAGATAAAGGTTGGGGTGTAAGAACTCAACAATCTATCAAATCAGGTGTTTTTATTCTTGAATATGTTGGAGAAGTTGTTTCTGAAAGAGAATTTAAATCTAGAATGGCAACCAGGTATATTCAGAATGAAAAATTTTACGTAATTATATATTGTACATGTTAAAAATTCAAATTCATTTTAATTTCATTTTAATATGTAACAGATATGCTAATGATACGCACCATTATTGCTTACATCTTGATGGAGGTTTAGTAATTGATGGTCATCGTATGGGTGGCGATGGAAGATTCGTAAATCATTCTTGTGAACCTAATTGCGAGATGCAAAAGTGGAGTGTCCATGGTCTTCCACGAATGGCACTATTCGCTTCTAGAGACATTAAACCAGGAGAGGAATTGACATATGATTATAATTTTGCACTTTTTAATCCATCTGAGGGACAAGAATGTAGATGCGGTAGTAATGCCTGTAGAGGAGTGATTGGTAATTATATTTTTCATGTTATTGCTATTCATACATTAATTCATATCTCCTGTTTTTTGTACATTTTTATCATGTTTTCATAGGTGGGAAGAGTCAAAGAGTTTCTAAAAGTATCACTTCTATTCCGTCGCAATTAGAACCGACAGAAAGACGATCGGTTGGAAGACCAAGAAAAAATGTAAGAAAATCTAATGCAGTACAATCTGTAAATTCGAAAGGCATGTGTAAATCTCGAAAAGTAGGCGATTCTAATCTAATTCATGCCCCTGCATTAAAACCTATGTCTCATCAACAAAGATGTTTTGCTCAGCAACATCATTGTTTCTTATTAAGAAATTTAGAAAAAGTAAGACGAGTTAAGTTATTAGTAAATCAAGTACAAATGCAAAATGGTAAAGTAAAATGTGGTAATGCAACTACTGTAAAAGAAAAGGGTTCAGGTGATGCTAAAATTCAATCTGATGCATTTTTCTCACAATTAACTGCTTTAACAAATATAAATACACGTACTGTACGAACTCGACGACTAGCTCAAGCTCAAGATGATCCAGAAGTGAATAAAACTGCAAAATTGGCTAAGGTAGGATAAAATAGAAGTTTGCTTATAATTTTACTATTCATAATTAATTTTTTATATTTATTCACATTTATGATTAATTAATTTTTAGGTATTGAAAGATCTATATAGTATAGTAGCTACTGCAAAAGATGAAAATGATCAATTATTATGTACACCATTTATCACATTACCTTCAAAGAGAAAATTACCCGACTATTATGAAAAAATATCAGATCCTATAGATTTATCAACAATTGATCAATGTATTGGTACAGGCCATTATAAAACTGCAGAACATTTTGATCATGATATGATTAAACTTTTTGATAACAATGTAAGATTCTTTGGGAGAACTTCTGAAATAGGTATTGCCGCAGCTAGATTAAGAAAATTATACTTGGGAAGTAAGCCTGATTTCGTGGATGCAATAACGGAAGCAACTGGTTGTCCACCATCTCAAGGCTTCTTACCTCCTCGTGGTTCAACCGCGGGTGAAGAAGATGTTATCAGGTGTATTTGTGGTTTACATAGGTATGTGATAGTTGAAATTTTTATCATTTTATCTGTTAATATCTGTTTTTATCTCTTAAAATTAATTATAAATGTTCACAGGGATGAAGGATTGATGATTCAATGCGAACGCTGTCTCGTATGGCAACATTGTGATTGTGTTAAAGCTGATACAAGCATAGAATCTTACTTGTGTGAAAGATGTCATCCACGACCCGTGGATTTAGAAATACCATTAGAAGGTGACGAGGAAGAAGAAGGCAAAAAACATTATGTTACTTTGATGCGTGGTGATTTGCAACTTAGACAGGGAGATACTGTATATGTTTTAAGAGATACTCCGGAAAAACATACTTACAAAACAATTCAAAAACCTGATTACGAACAAATGGATATATTTAGAATTGAAAGACTCTGGAAAAACGCAGAGTAAGTTAAAAATATTCTATTTGTTAAAAGTTTGCATGAAAGTTTTACGTTCATTGTTAATATTCAACTGTTTTTGATTCAATAGAGGTGAAAGATTTGTATTTGGTCATCACTATTTAAGACCACATGAAACGTATCACGAACCAACAAGAAAATTTTATGAAAATGAAGTTGTGTGTGCTCCACTTTATGAAGCTGTTCCATGTGATTTGGTTGCTGAACGCTGTTGGGTCCTTGATCCTCATACGTATTGTAAAGGTAATTATTTTTAATTTTTTAAATTATTTTTTATTGTTCCATTGTTACATATTCTATTAGAATGCATTAAATTAAAAAAATTTTTAATTTATTTTCATTTTTTCTTTAATTAAGGACGGCCGGTTGGTTCTACACCAGAGCATACTTATGTTTGCGAGTATCGCGTTGATCGGGCTGCTCGACTATTTACAAAAGTTGCCAGAGCTAGACATCAAGTTTGTACGAAGCCTTATGCATTTGAAACTTTTCCACAACGTATTAAGCACTATCGTACATATTTGGTAAGTATACATAAATATTACTAAAAAAAAATGACGAAAACAAAAATAAAATTTTTTTTTAAATAATGTGCAGCCTCATAGTCTTGAAGGAATCCAAATAGGAAGTAAAATGAATAAAGAAAAAAAGAAATCTAATAATCAAGATGTTGATAATAATCAAAAATCTGAATCGAATGAAAATGCAAAAACGCACACAAAGGATCAACAAAAATCTTCTACGAGCAAGAATAGACGTCGATCGAATGAAATTTTACCTATTGTCACACCCGCTGCATCATATGCCCAGGTATATATATATACATATATATATATTCAGATTTTGATGACTTAATATATTTTTTCATATATTATATTAATATATTACATTACTCATTTTTAGAGAGAAGAACAAAGAAGACGATTGAACAATATTTTAATCGGACTATTACAAAAAATGCCGAATAAAAAGGATCCCTTAGATTTGTCATTTTTATTAGAAAGGAATAGACGAAATCGTAAAAGGCCAGGGGGATTAAATCCGTGACATTGGATTATACATGATCGATAGG